TCGACCATATCACAGCCATTAGGGGATGTATGATGGTATCAAAGCCTCTCTTTACACTAAAGTGTTCTAAATAAGACCATTAAAGTTCATTAGTTAGTTAGTCTTTCCTCGTGGGCCTAGGGCGGCGCATAGGTCAAAGGTAATAGCTCTCCATATCAGCTGTTCGTTGCCACCTGCTTTAGGTCTTGGATGTTCGTTAGGCCATTGCTGCTGCGATATTAACGGGTAAACAAACAGATTCAGCACTACCTTAAGCTGTAGTGCAGAGAGTAGTGGCTAGAATGCTAACTTTTTAGACCCAGTGATCAGCTGAAACAAAAATATCCACCAAGAGATTTGAGTGTTTACATCAGAAAGAGACAATCTACATTCTTTGGTTATGTAATGAGAAGGAGAAAACTAGAGTACATCGTGACAGTAGGGAATTTGGAGGGGAGGAGAGGCAGAGGGAGACCAAGAGAACAGAGGCTGGACAGTTTGACATAACAACATGGAGGATTATCTGTGTCAGAATTGATTGAAAGTAAACAAGACAGAAGGTTGTGGATAGACATGACTACCAACGCCACGCGGCATGGACTTAAAGAAGATAATTTTTTTAAATCCTGTTGAGATAGGTTAAAAAAAACTTAAAGGACTTTCTCGGCTGGTGGATACCAAAAATGCAATATTGTTGGACTGATGAGGATACAAGGTGTAAGGGAGGTGATTAGAAGATGAAAAAGAGTTAGGTAGAAAAGTGTTTTGCTAGGAAAAAGAACAAAAAATTCATCACGTTCAACCTGCATCCCTGAAGGGGAAGCTTTAGGTTATAATTGTGACTAGGTTATATGCACCATTTAAAATGGCTTAGCACACTGCATGCCACCAAGAGCCCTGAAAAGGATTCCTGCAGTGTTCATGTGATCAAAGGAGACAGACCAAATACTCTTCTGATAAGCGACGAAGTAGTCTATCAGAGAGACAATGGGCAACCTGGGTGCCAATGTGAAAAAGATTTAGTCACAGTGTTGTGATCATGTGATCAACACTACAGATGATATAGATGGCAAAGTGGTAATGCATCTCTATATTTCCTTCTGTGATATGTATGACAGCCTACAGTGGTCCCTTTCTGTGCTGCCTACATACAGACACACACTTCAAATAATACCAGACATGTCACAGAACCTCCCGAATGCAGCTATGTAATGTATGAACAACTTTATAGTTAATCACAGTCAAATACAGGTGTACAGAATTAATTGCTGACACACTGAAAATGTGAAATCAAAGTAAAGATTGTGATTTTGTATCACACTCAGCACAGAACATCCTGAATGGACATGTGAAAACTATAATACTTTCACAATTATATTATTAAATACATAAGGTAACTGCTAACATATTAAGAACATGAAATGAAAGCAAACATCATTCTTTTGTTCACCGCAACACTTTCTGAATGTACATGTGAAATGTATTTACTGTACCTTTATAGTTAAACATGGTCATATACAAGAATAGAATGTAACTGTCACATGCAGAAAGTGAATAAAAGATCCTTTTAATCTGTACCTGATTCACCATGGAAATATGCAAGTGTATACAAATATAGACTGTAAAGCAATTTCTGGTAGCTACATACATATGGCAGGAAGAGCACAAAATACAACATAGTAATCTGGGTTATTTTGTTACAACATATCTACAGGAGAGAGATAAAAGAAATACAAGTCGATGCAGGAAACAAAGGTAAGTGAATATATATTTGAAATATGTATAAACATTTAAAAAGAAAAGCTATCTGCTTGAGTGCGGCATTTGTTTTTGTTTTATAAAAACACATAACATTTATTCTTCTGTGCCGCAAGTGGCAAAGTGGATAGTGCACTCACTATCCAACACACTGGTCTGTAGTTCTTTTCTGGTCAGTACAGTTGCGAACTTGACCTAGAGATACTGGACATTAACACATTTCTGGGAAACAAAAGTGATGACATTGACCATTTATGCATCCCCCACCTCCCCCAAACAAACATGCCATTACAGGTGACTAATTAGGGGTGTTTTACTTTGAAGTCAGAGTCCATTTGCCTGAGAGGTGAAGAAGCATATGATTACCAGAAGCTTGTTAGGGGGCAGTGGTTCTAGTCTTGTTCCCCCCAAATGGGCTCAGGAAAACATAAACGTTCTTCATCACTTATTTTTACAAGGCTGAGACGATAACCAAGCCAATTTGAAACAGCCTGCCACTTCTGGGGATTGAATCTTGAACTGGGATAGCAAACACACTAACCACTGTGTCAGCACTAGATCTCGCTGACTCAACTAAGGTGATTCACATAAGAGGACAAGCTTTGCACTGTTACCTTTAGACCTTTCCAACATTCACAAATAATGTCTTCTCTCTTTGCGTTTACCCGCTTTAAACTCTGGTGGAAAGTTCTGGTTGCTCGTCTACTTATGGACTTAGGTCTTGTTTCAGAATTTGAGTTTTGCATGCACATCCATTTTACAAATCCGGGTTATTTGTATAGAGACTGCTGGTTTCTCGTCTCTTGGGCAAAGGCACTCTGACTTCAAAAGAAACACCCCTAACTAGTTGACATTTATGACATACTTGTTAACGAAGCAGCAAACCTATCCCCCCCTTCCCCCCAAAATAGGGCCCCGAAACCCACACGGGGACTTATGTCTTGCCATTAAAATATTCTTTGAATTACTTTTTAGGGAGCAATCAGTATAGGGGTATTCAGCACCAAATTGCAACTCTAACTGTCACACTCTCAGGTCAAGTCACATACTTCAGTTTTGTCACTCCTTTATCATGTCACTCTCCAATAATGTCACTCTTCAAAATGTCTTGCTGGCTTTTGTGACGCTCTTCAGTCATGTAACTTTCTGACCATGTAACACTCTTCAGTCATGTCACTCTAGAGTCATATCACAATTCAGTCATGTCATACTCTTTGCTCAAGTCATTCTCTTCAGCCATATAACATTCTATGACAATGTAAATCCAATAACGTCACATTAACCCGTGATGTCAAACTCATGTCACTCTTCAGTCATGCCACTCCAGGGTCATGTCACACTTTTTTAGTCGGCTAGCAATCTCTGTGAATGGTCCCACCCAGTGTAAATATAATATCAAACATGTAAATTACAGAGTGTGGTCACATTTAAGATTATCAATATGCCTATTCAGTTATCTTCCGCTGTAATGGAGGGGGGGGGGGGGGGGGAATAACTTAGTCAGTAGTTAGTTGCGTATCCTTTACAGGACGTTGCAGAACCAACCCCAACAGCCTCTGGCTGTTGTGTGGTTTTTCCAGGCAAATTTACGTTCATTCGTTTGCCATTGCTTTCTGGGCGGTCGGCTTTCTCAAAACTCACTGTCGAAACCAGCGCAAGGCGCGTGGCCCGCAGCTGGGATCGAACCTGGCATCCCAACATTACGAAGCATTCGCATCAACTTAGCAAGTCAGTAGTACACAATGTTATTTGATCAAATTAAAATACACAATTTCTTTAATTATTCCCTGCACCTCTTATTATATGTGTTATTTCACACAAAAATTATGAACTCAATAAATTGCAGGGAACATTCACTGTGATTTATATAAAACATTAACTATTCAATTAATGGGTTACATAAAAGGTTTTCATGATTAACAAAGATAGTATTCAATGTCAGTTTTCAGAATAACATGGACTATTTGTTTTCTAGTTTATGATATAAATGGAACAATTTATTTCCATTCATGAAGTACATGCAATAAACTTGTACAGTTAATACCTGACCTATAAAGCATTATTTACTGGCTTTTATCTGAAATCAGCTTTCACTCTACATACAAATAAAAACTTCAACATTTCCACTCTGGCTTATAAAGGAATATGAAGACAGCAATAGTCTGTGATAATTCTGACAAAACTTTTAAATAATCTTTTCTCTAACGAGCTTTTTTCTTAATCAAATGGAAGGCGCTAAAAGCATCAAAAACCAAACCCTAATTACACATGTCATTTCTGAAGGTTTCTTATTCCTAGCATATACACTTGAAGTTTGTTTCATGCTAGAATTTTACAATGATCTTTGTTGATACACTACATATTTCTGTGTGTTTGTGTGCATTTGTGTGTGGTGTGTGTGTGTGTGTGTGTGTGTGGTGGGGGGCAGAGAGTACAAGTATGGTAACTGCTCAGAACAAATGAAAGCACAAACTGAAGAGTAATTATCACACCTGAAACACTATATATATCCTACCAATATCCTAACAGTTTGTACAAAATATGACCCTTTAAAAAAATGTTGTTTAAAAAAATAATAATACAAGTTTTTAACTTTTTTTGGGGAGGTTAAATAGGATATCTAGAATTTGCCCTGGTGGCTTGCCATCCAGGATATAACGTGAAGTTGTAGAAGTAATCAAACCTTAAGGCAGTCTCCTGGAGGGGTAAAACAAACTAACTGTTGTCCTTACAATGTTGAATCACAGAGACACAAGAAAAGAAAATCAGGAGGTGCTAAACAACTGTGGAGAATATGCTTGAAAAATCTCATTGCAAGGTACCGATTTGCCAGTAGGGATCAATGTATGAATTGTTCATTTAAAATTGTATCTATCTTTGTTACTCCATTTGTAAGGATGCAACCGAGTTGAAAATTATACAACTTTCAAGACAAAATTAATCACAAGTATTCCAGGAACTTTATTAAACTCTGGATGAAAAAGTTGTTATTCCAAAACTGATTAAACACACGTCAATCTCGCATTAGTAACTAATATAAGTTAGATGTTAAAAATGCATACTTCTACTATAAGAGAACCAGATTAGAACAATAACTGAAAACATCTGTAGGAGAATATTCTAGAACTTGCTTTAATATAACCAGAGGTGATATTTATTGTAGAATACAATAAGTATAAAAAGTAAATTGAGGTGGAAAGATGAGGGCATGACACAAAATTCTGCCTAGCCAAATTCTGCTGGATGTTGACTGTCTTTGGTGTTCAGTCAACGCCCTCAAATCCTTGTGTGTTTTCAATGGCTGTCACTAGCTTACTTCTCAGTTCTTGGTAAGTGACATATGGTGGCAGATCCAACCGGTTGAAGCTGTAAGTAAAGGTAATATTAAAGAGCATTAAACAAAACTCTGCTGCACATTCCAAGGAAAACATATACTATAGGACTATTTATGAGATGGAGGAAGTATCTCGCTTCAGAAGCTGTGTAACTGCTCTCACAGCAAGCCCATAAAAAGTTCAACCTCTCTCAACAGATATCAGAGAGTGAATAATAATCTTCTTCATACTTTCAGACATCAATCGAGATATATATTTAAAGAAAGCAGCAGTTAAACTGAGGTTGTTGGCATGTGCTTTTCATTGGCACCTTTCCGTCTTTCCAGACGACAGTGTGATATTGTGCTATAACGAGGCATGCAACTCACAGCCCATGGCGATGGCTAGTGCGACTAGCAAGACATTCCCTCCATAGCACAAAGCGTGAGCAGTATTTTAGAGACTATATGATGCCCACGCATCATGATCACTTTCTCAACCTGCCTTGTTTACCCCAAAGGAAAGGTACCACCAATATGTTTGGAATAAAGCAGGGTACAGACGCTGCCGGATCAGTGTTCTGTCTGCCTGTCAAAGCTTCCTTTTCAGACCAGCTGCCAGCCAAGGGCCTAAGATTAGTTGTCATTTTACTATTACTAGATCCACTTTTGCATTCATCATCAGCTAGTTTTAGTTGATTACACAAATATTATTTCAGTCTACTATGTCATGTGCAAAAAAATTCATCATGGAAGATGTTTTTGAATTTGTGAACAAAGAGGAATAAAAAAAATAACATCCTATTGGAATTTGTTGAACAACATAACTTTGAATTTAATCAACTTTAAGAAGGCTTCTGATAGCTTACTCAGAATATCAATGTGGCTAATTTTAGAATGCTTCTGTATACCAATGAAAAAATAAATAAATAAATATTAAAACAAGGCATGAAGGTTCAGTGTGTGCAGTGTGAACAGATGATGGTTTAAGTAACAGGTCTGCAGCTGAAAATGGAGCGAAAGAGGGATGCATTTTATCTCTCCTGTTATTTGTCTCAACCACTGACTGGATGGTGGAAAAAAAAAAGTTTGTTGGGAACACCAGCACTAAGTGGGTGGAGAATACACAGTTAAAAAATATTGATTTTGTTGATGACACTGTTCTGTTTAAACAATGATGTGCAAAGAAAAACAGATGATTTAGCAAATATAGCACAAAAGTTGAACTACAAATAAGTTATGAAAAGACAAATATATTTAAGACAGAAATAACAGATCAAGCAGATGTTATACTAGAGACAAAAGGAATTAAAGTAACACAAGAGTTTACTTATTAGTTAGTAATGTTGATAGTCAAGTTAACAAAGAAATTAATTATGATACACACTGGCAAGGCATCAGCAGCTTCTAAAAGCCTGACAAAATATGGAACTCTAAACTGTAGATTTAAAACCATGCCAAAAATTGAATTGGGGAAATCTAAGTGATGTCACTTTGCCAGCACTCACCATCTCGAAATGTCATCATGGTCCAAAAACAACGAGGTGCGCACACCCGCACCATAATGGCTGTTAGCTTGTGGCTGTAATAATTCACATTTTTTTGCAACACAGCTCCCCCTTCCCCATCCTTCTTCCAATGCATATTATTTGCACCCCGCAAACCAAAACGCTGCTAACACTAAACAGACGATCAATCGCCACAGTGCGACTGTATACACTTAAAATAAAGGTAGTCACACACAAAAAAATTGTAAAAAAAAAAAAAAAAAAATCACTGTTCTTCAGATGACAGTTCATTTTATTTCTGATTCTTCCCTCATGGCAGGCAAACTTCATGGGTTATCAGCCTTTTTAAGGGGGAATATAAGATTTCAAGGGCACTTTTACCTTTCAAGGGTTATTCAAGTTTTCCAGGCCACTACAAGCCCTGTGTAAAGGACCTGCTACATGATGATGATGATGTCATGTATAAAGTCCAAATATAGCTATATATTCACATTAAAGAAGCTGGTGATGTAGATACGGTTTCTGATGGCCTGAATATCTTCCTCAAAACCTAAGCTGAGATTAATGAATAAATAAAAAAAATAAAAAAAGGATTTGACAGACTCACCAAGTGTGAGCACGAGGAAACTGGTTTATGTTACCCCACTTCTCAATTGTGAAAAGCTGGGGCCCATTGCTGCCATACAATTCTGCAAACCCGTTCATGGGAACCCTGGATGTGCCAGTTACAAACTGCAAAAGCCTTGCCCGCATTTCATTATTGAATGAATACACAGCCTGAAATAAATATGAAAGCTCTAAATAATATCATAAACAGTTTCTAACAGATAAAAAAAAAAACACTATAACATAACCCTTACCCATTAGGATCGTGGAGGTGTACTGATGGAAGCACTAGCACATAAAACCCCCCAACTTTCTCTGTCTTCGGCTTGATGAGTAGGTGTATGATAATTTAGTCCTGTCCATTTCTAGATACTATCATTCCAGGTTCTTCTTTGCTCTCCTCTTCTTTGACTACACCCCCCCCCCCCCCCCCCAATGCTCTTTGAAGTACAGTCTTTGCAATCAAATCATGTCTCACCACGAAAAAACACTATAATGACTTTCAGTTATAATGCAAGCTTTGCTGGATGTAAAAAAGTAAATGACCCTTTTCCACACTTTCAGGCATATCTGGCATACAGAGCTAGATCTATATTTTATAGACCAACCGACACCGAGTGAGTGATGTGGTCACGCTGGCCACCTTTACTTCTCAGGACTGTACCCGATATCAATTTAAGGTTAGGTAAACCTGACAGCATAGGTCAATTAAAAAAAAAAGTCTGTCCTCGCCAGGACTTCAACCCAAGAACTTCTGATATGCAGGCGAGCATCTAGTCCCTACACCAAAGCGGCTCAGCTTAGCTGGATGTACATAAAATATAAAATGAAAAACAAACTTCTCAGGCCCACAGGTGCATTGGATATATGGTAAAAGCCTTCCGTGTGTGGGTTTAAACACTCAAATGCACAATAAACATCGACTTCCACTCCAATATGGCAGATCACTGAAAGATGTTTCCAGCCAATGTTTGGTGATGAAAATTCCCCACTTCTGGACTGGAAGTCCAAAAGCTTCGCAGCGCAGCTTCTGAGTTCAGTGCTTGATGCAAAACAGTGCGCTGTAGATTTTATATGGAATGATTTTTCTGTTGTGCCTGAGATGACTTTGTGTTGTGACCTGCAATAAAAATGGCGAGTGGTCATTTATGTTTAGAATAGTGTGTGCTTATCCAGTACTAAGTGTACAATATAGGCTTTCATAACCGACTGCTTGCATCAACAATGAACTACAATTCTGGTGTGAGACTTAGTGATGGCACATCTGACAGCTATCTTATGCATTTATTTTGTAGTTGCGAGCTTCAAGATTCTGCTGAGCTTGACATGTTTTCCACTAGTTGTCAAACTGGACAGAGATGAACTTTTTGTGTGATTTCCACTGGCACAGGAATGGAGTAGTGATGGGGCAACCCATCTGCAGTGAAGTTGGAACCTGGACTAACTACTAAAAAAATGGCACATACCTTCCAGAAATTGATGATGACTGGGTGGTTTTGATTGTATTCCCCTTTGTATGCTGTGTTCTGTTTCCAATTATTGACGTCAATGTCCTGAAGGCCACACATTAGCAACTGAAACAACAATGACTCCTTGTAACATTTTATTTCAACTATAACAAAACAAATCAAATAATCATTACAATTAATTTGTAGGGCTGAAAAAAAGTCACAATTCAAAGACCTGGTTCATTTCTGATACATTTTAAATGTCTATCTGTTCTGAAAATCTAAGAACATTTAGATATAATTTAAAAAAAAAAAACAACAACTACTGAAAGTTACTATACTAATTCCATTTTACTTTCTAAATGTTGAAAATAAATTATAACTGTTTAGACACAATTCACATTGGTTAAAAAAAAAAAAAACCAGTTTGGAATTAATACAACACAATGTTTTAGTTTTCTAGGTATATCTAGATTGGTAAACAAAGTGGGGACAAAATTCAATTTGTTTTCATTGTAAAGCATAATTCATCTTTAAAGTGGAGGGTGATCAAGTCTCTGATAAACACTGCTACTTTTGAAGTGTCATTTTCTTGTCACTTTTCTCGACAAATATGTAAAATAGAAAGAACTTTCCATCCAACTTTTATTCAAATCCCCAAATTATTTACTTTTTTAATGAACATATAACAAATACAAATTAAACAACATATTTCAAGATGGAAAGTAATCTCCAGTGTCCACCGATTCCACATTAAAACTATGCTATAGTATGGTTAAAACAAAGGCTTTAATATACCAATAATGAAAGAGGTGGTATCATAGCGACTAAATGCTCATCTGCTAACCTGAAGGTTTATGGTTCAAATACCCATTGAGGCATTTTTTTTTTTTCAAAACTGACTTTGATTCCTAGGTTGACCTAGCTTAAAATAGGCACTAGGTAACATCGTGGAAGTGAAAGCAGTGGTTGTGATTCTGACCACAACACCCACCGAGTGCCGATTGGTCAATAAAAATATAGGTCTGGCACTATATGCCTAAAGTGCCAAAAGGCATTATATAATAGCAAGTGACATTTTGTGTGTTTTTAATCTTATAGTTAAAATCCTCAGTCTCTAATCTTATAGTTAAAATCATCAGTTTCTAATCTTATAGTTAAAATCCTCAGTCTCTAATCTTATAGTTAAAATCATGTCTCTAATCTTATAGTTAAAATCATCAGTTTCTAATCTTATAGTTAAAATCATCAGTTTCTAATCTTATAGTTAAAATCATCAGTTTCTAATCTTATAGTTAAAATCCTCAGTCTCTAATCTTAAAGTTAAAATCATCAGTTTCTAATCTTATGGTTAAAATCATCAGTTTTTAATCTTATAGTTAAAATCATCAGTTTCTAATCTTATAGTTAAAATCATCAGTTTCTAATCTTATAGTTAAAATCATCAGTTTCTAATCTTATAGTTAAAATCCTCAGTCTGTAAAAGATATACTGTGCAAGGGAATAAAAGAGCAGATTTTTTGGCTACAAAAGTGAAAGCTACGGGAACACTTGATTAGACAAGCAAGATATTCTGAAGACTAATTTTGATGACTTTTGGCAGAAGACACGAGATATAGATGAAATAACATGAGCAAGAATGTGTAAATGGGGAATTAAGTGTTGATCCGGCAAGGAGGACGAAGGAGAGGAAGAGATCAGCCTGTGTATAATCAGTGTGCTACAGGAACAGTAAGTATCTACACTTTATGTCATTTACTGCGGGAAACGGAGCATCTATGGGAATGCCCGGTGTGCTATGATGTTGATTCTTAAATCACTAAAAATCCCCAGTCTCTAATCTTTTAGTTAAAATCCTCAGTCTCTAATTTTAATCCTAATCTTTTTTTATTAACATCTCCAGCTTCTAAGACATATTGCAAGTAAAATTGTAAGCAAAATAATAGAAAATCTTACAGTTAAACATAAGTTTATCAGATATCTATTAGAGGGAAATATTTGTTTACCTCAACCTCATTTTCATCAAATATCTGTAGCTGGGCTTGTGGGATGAGGGCATTGAATCCTTTCATGAATGCTTTCATCTGGGTGTCAACCCGGGCCGAAAACCTCCACTTTATCACACAGCTACCAAAAGAATGAGATAACATGTTGATTTTTTAATGATGAAAATATGACAAAGAAATAAGCATAAATATAAGGGAACATATGACAGACATTGTTTCAGAAGTGTCTTCTTCTTCTTAGCTTTCACCATGTCCTCGTTCTTTTTCCACTCC